TACTCCAGGTTGGGCGACAGAAAGAGACTCTGTCAAACAACAACAACAACAACAACAACAAAAGATATTCAGGAGAGATATTTTGTAGAGAGGAAGATATTCCCTAGCACTTATAAGTCATCTCAAGGAGGTGGTCACACCTTTCCTAGAGCTAGAAAAGCCCTACTCAGAGACCTCCAGTGTTTTCCCAATGCCTGTCAACCTGCCTTATACTTCCCATATCTCCATGTGGGAGGCATCCCTGTAGATTTTGCTTAGCATTTGGCCATGCTTTGTTTGAAATCTTAAAAGCTATTAAAGAACGTTGCCTTATGTTCCCTGATGAGAAGATGAAGTTGGCAAAAGAATGGTGAAAGGCAGGGATCTTGATGAGAAGCCCCTGACTACTTCTTTAGTGATCGGCATTCTTCATTTCCCATCTCATTCCATGTCCTGGTGGAATGGCTGCAGAAGATGAGATCCAGAGCCAGCAGCAGCACCTGAAGGAGATCCTTGTCATCAACAACTGCCTGCGAGAAAAGCTGGAACGTCATCTCAGCAGCGTTGATGAAGAAAATAGTAGGATAGGCCCAAGTGATCTGCTTCTGGCAATATGTATTTTTCTAAAGGCCTGTGACTGGGGCAGAGTTTTATAGATTTCAAGCACTTTGACATACTTTACTTCACTTATTCATTACAAATGTCCCAGCTAGAGAGGTAGGGCAATTACTATCATTCCTATTTATAGGTGAATAAATGAACTTAAAGAATTGCCTCCATCTTAGAGGTGTCTACCTCTAAAATCATTCTTGTGATTCCCAGGCTGTCTGCTGTCTTCTCTCTGCTTCTGTACACCGCCTGCTGTCTCTCTGCTTCTCATGTGATTGGCATTCAGTAGAACCCAGGTTTCTGAGCACCTCATGTAGCAGAATGAGAGTCTCCTCTGCTGCCATCCTCATCAGCTTCCCTTATGTCTTGGTTACTCTTCATTCTACCACCCCAAGGTGGTTCTCTCCAACCCCCTCCTCTTCGATTGCTCTCACACAGAGGCCATCATTTCACAACATCGTGCTGGGCCAGAAGAACAGTAACCAGGTCCCTTCCCATA